AACGAATAACCAACTAAAGAGGAATATCCTTATTGGATATAGATCGACTAATCAGTTAATTTGATTAGAAGGCTCTGATATCAATTGTTGGAACCCATAATCCTCTTAAGTATCAAGACACACAGTAAAATCAGAGATTGAATGGAAGCGAGAGTGTGTAAATAGAAAAGGTTTGACAAATTATTCAAGATGATAATGAGAATGAAAAACAAACTTGAATAAGTCGGATGCTTTATTATATTTCGAGTATAAAACAACAAACTCTCAATCGAATTAGTATTCTCACAAGAACTCTCTATTTTGGAGTGTAGTCTAATTTGGCACTCTTTCAGCTAATGTATAACCTGAGAAGGATGCCTCCTTTTGATATGACTATGCTAAACATAATCTCCTAGAATCTAGGCTTCAAACTCTAAATTTTTTTTCAGCGTCCTTAGCCTTTACGTTCCTTGGAAAATGGAACGGATTGAGTCAATCATAATAGATTCTGTTAGGAGTCTTGTGGATAAGTCTAAATCAAGTGCGCAAAACAAGGAAGTAGGAGACCCGAGGCCCTGCATGTATCGTGCAGAGGCTCTGTGCCTTGAATGTTGCTCTGCATCAAGTACTTAAGCTTTTTGACGCTTAAGTCTTGATCTTCCTCTGGGTTGAGCACAGGCTCTGTATTTGAGGCACTTAGCTCTTTGAGTCAGAGCTCTGTATCTTAGTATCTTATGGATAAGAGCTCTTGGTCTAGAATGCTTCAAAAGACTAAGTCCTACACAACTAGAGTAAGAGGCTTCTTACTTACACTTTTACAAGTTGGGATTTAACATCAGCATTCATTGAGGCTTGTGCAGTCTTCACACATATGTTGACCAAGTTTAATCACTGAATACCGCTTCAGATCACAAACGCACTAGTCACTAATCTTCTGTTTCAGTCTTTAACATTCACTTAAGGTTATTGGGTGTGAGTTTTGTCTTATTGAAGTATAGTTGTCGTTGTAGGATTATAATACATGTTTCAGCGATCATTGAATAGACTCAGTGATGATCGTTGGAACTGAATAGAAAGACACATAATACTTCGATAGGTAAAAGGGATTATCATCAAAACAATGAGAGAAAGGATCAACCCAAGTTCAGAATGTTCATAGCCAGATATGGAGCATACCTGAAAGTCAGAACCAGACGCTTATGTGTCATCAACATTATCAACGGCCATGCCGTAGAAGTGCGCCTAAGATTAATCTTCAGAGGTTGAGTCAGAGACCTAATTCTCTTGTTCTCTGTGTCCTCTTGTACTTGTATTTGTTTTTGTAGTACAGAACATCTTTAACTAGAGGACCCTTGGACTCTTTGTCAAAATCACTAGTCATGCCGCATCGATAACACCTATCGCTCTACTTTGTTTTCTTTGGCATCCCCTCCTCTTTCTTCATCATTTGTTGAGGAGCCTGCTTGGACTCATATACCGGATTCTTGTACCTCTCGCTCCAATCATCCCTGCCTCTTCTTTCAAACATCCTCTTCCCAAATTTCTAGTTGAACTCCTTGGTGATGAGAGCCAAGGATTGTGCGAAAGCACTCATATCGTCATCATTAGAGCTAGACTCTTTGTCTTCCTCCTCGCTATCAAAAACCAGCGCCTTCTTTCCACTCTTCTTATCTTCTCTGGTTCTCCTCTCTCTCGATCGCCTAGCAGAACTAGGCTCTTTAGAGTTAGAGACTAGGGCCATAGGACCACCCAGAGTGACCTTATTCTTCTGTACTTCCTTCTCCTGAGCCTGCATAGTCCCGTATACATCGTGGAAAGTCCCCTGATCCAAGTCTTTATTTTCTTGCTGAGACATCGACATATTGGCCCATTCTACATTCAACCGCTTCAAGAACAACATGATATTCTCTTCCTAGGTTCTCACAATATCACACTTTCTGCATTTATTGATTAGTGTGTAGAACCAAGGATAAGTTTGTTCTAGTGACTCATAGGGAAAATTTTGAAAGTTGTTATATCGGTTTAAGCATTGGGCACGTCTGTTCTTTCTCGTTTTGATCCCATACATCCTTGGCAGAATCGCAAGCATCTAGGAACTGAAAGATTTGGTTGGGGAGTGCCTTAATCAATAGCCTTTTGGCCTTTTGATCAAGCTCAACCTTTCATTTATCTTCATGGTAACAATCCCTTCTAGCCTTAGGGATTCGGGTGGCATGAACCTCAACAGTGATTGTAGTAGCAAGAACCCTGGGAATCAAGGTCATGGGTACATGAAGACCATTCTTTACAAACTCATAAAGCTCAAGGTCAAAACCTTCATAGAAGGTTATCATTCTAATATTCCATTGGAGATATTCATCCCTAATAAGAGTAGGTGGTTTGGTGAGAGAACCAACACTATACATAGAATTGCAGGATTGATTGGACATTTTCAAAAAAATAGGTATAAACTGAGAACTTGAAGTTAGAAGTGTAATCATTGAACTTTGACTATCACAACTTGGAGAATATATTAAAATACTTTTATCTTCAAAGAAATAAATGAGATTTACATATTTTCACAGGAAAACTGAGACCTGGATTGAAAACCAAGAACACACAGTAATGTGTGTATCGAAATCCTCTCAACAAGCTAAATCTCACAAGTGAACAAAATATTCTCTCGAAATAGGCAGGAGTGTGTCTTCTCAATTTGTGAATTGATAAAAAATATCCTAAGAGGAATTACCCTTTTATAGGCGTTTCTAGAAAATGAATCTTCCATAATTGGCATTTTAGTTAAGTCAACACGTCCACCAGTCTTCTTCTGCTCCACTATCTGATTGCATTAATTGTTTCTGAATACGTGTTGCATGGAGACTGGAACACTTGTAAGACAAGCCATTAAACCTTCATGCAGACGGGCTAAGTAGGAGACCTAGAGGCTCTGCAAGTACTATGCAGAGTCTCTATGTATGGAAGTCGAGCTCTGTATCCGAGTACATGGCTTTGGGCGTACAAGTCTTCGATCTTCATTCCCTCTGTGTCTGAGCTCTGTATTCGAGCACTTAGTTCCATGCCGCTTTCTGACTAAGTCCTCTTGACTAGAACAAGAGGCTTTTTACTTACACATTCAAATAAATGATATAATAATTCAAATGAATCTTGCTCTACAAGATTAGTTTTTGTCTTATTCTAGATGCACAAAAGGACGACCCATAACTCACACAGGAAAGTACATGTACGGAGTTACTTTATTGTATTCCAAACGTGTTTACCAACTTTATGAAAGTCAACTGTTCATATGCAGTCAAAAGTCTGCATATCTGAAGATAAAGGACAAGCTCTCCACTAGAAGTTTGTCACATGTCTTGTACCCTCTGACTTACATTAATTGCAATGAGTATAATTAGTTGAGAAGATCTCTCTTATCGGCAACGCCTTCTTCTTCTTCTTCTAATTCTTTTCTATCTTGTTCTAATCTCTCTTTGTGCATTTATATGTGTTTCTTAAATTGTTTAGATTAGGTCTTAATCTATCTTTTTTCGCAACAATTTGTAAATTTTGTATTGATCTTTTATCAATAAAAGAATTTAAGAAGTAAAATTTTGTATGTTTTCTTCTTCTACAAACTGTTACCTTTATAACTTTTATAGATCCGTTTTATAGCAACAAAGATGACATATAAGATTTTTTAAGGATTTGTTTTTTAGACGGTAATGTGTTGACCGACCTCTCGTTAAGACATTATAAATTGCTTTTGATTTATGGTTGTTCAGTGGGAATGTTATTTCCTTTTATCAAAGCGGAGTGTTAAGTATTGGTGGCTTAAAAGGTGGGTAAAAATGAAAATAAGATTTGCTTAAGGGGTGTACGGGAATTTCCTCTCAATTATCTTTTTCTTCAACACTAGTGTCGTACGTGTCCCATTTTCTTTATTCGAATGTCTATAGAAAAGATTTAAAGATGTCTATCAATTGTTTGATGGCACTTATGAGTAAAAAACAAATACATGTTTGAATGATTTTTTGTGAGAATGTTGGAAACGCTACAACGTAACTTGGTTTATATATAGGATTTCAAAAAACTTTAAGGATCTAAGTAGATCGTTTTATAAGATTTGATTTATAGGACTAAAAAATAAAGTGTCATATCTAAATGCCTTTATTGAATTTATAAAATGTTTTTTAACGTCATAACAAGTTTTTTAATACATTTTTATAAAAAAAAATCATATTTTATCATTTTGTAGGAGACTGTTTTAAAAGTGTCTTATAAAACCAAATGTCTTATAAAAAAAATGATTTATAGAACATTGATTGAAAAATGTCTTATACAAACAAGTGTCCTATAAAAACATAAGTTTATGTGACATTTTCTTAAAAATGTCATGTAAAAAGGTTAATAGAACACTTTGTATTAAAAGTGTTCTAAAAAAGCTTTTAAAAAGCCCAAAAACGTCTTACAATATGTAAATTATAAGACATTAGATCATATGCTTTGTTTTAGTGCTATTTGTTAATTATTTTGATTTAGTAATATGTAATTAGAATAATGATCATGTGATAATAATATATTTAGACCTTCAATCACTTATAATCTCAAACAATTCATGATTGCATTTTAGAAAATTTGGTGTATTTCATTAATGTTGATTAGTGTTTCTTTTCAATTAAAATTGATCAACGAGTGAAAATGCCTTCTTATCTTTCATTGTCCACCGCCACCCAACCCTATGTAAATAATGGAATTGATATGATTATAGAAGTATAACACATAATTAATAAACGGTTTTACCCAATTACGTAACGAATATTATATAATATATATAAATACAAAAATAAAAATCTTAGTATTTTTAATAAAGAGAAAATTGAAATTAAATTTGATTTTATTGTATTGTATTGTATTTAGCTAAGTATATTTAATAATCTCCATATGTATAAGTGTGTATGTATAGTTTTCTTGGAATGAGACATTTAACTTCCAAGACAAGCATTTTTTCCTAATAAAAATTATGAAAAAAATTATGATCAAGAGAATTAAAAGCTCGGGAAAAAATTCCCGACCGATGGCAGATCCAACGTCGCTGGGCTCCAATTGTCGGTAACTACATCCGCAGAGATATTTAGATCATCGTTGTTGCATATGAACGGTTCAAAATCCTGTTGCCATGTGAAACTCGACAGCGTAGTGGTCTCATCGCTCCACGAGATCTCTTGAGGCAATTCTTCGTTAAGTATATCATGTAGCTCCAGAAGGTTTGTATTCTGAACCATAAACTCTTCGATTTCGTTGTCATCCCCCATAAACGGATCCTGAATCACCATGTTTTGCAATTCGACTTCCTCAGTCGAATCACATACCGGCATTTCAATCCCAATCCCACTTGAGGAATCTTCACCAACAATTTCTAGATCCGCTTGATCCGAATTCTGGTTCAAAAATTTAGCGAACACATCAGCGAGGTCGATATTGGATCGTTCAGGCGACTCGTTAGCCGAGTCACCACTGCAGCTCGGGTTATTAAGATAACCCAAGCTACCGCCACCTCCAGTTTGTGAGGATCTAGCAGGTCGTGACCGTCGGTTCTTCCGACATCCGCCACCAACAGGAACATTACGGAGGGACCCACCTTTGGTCCAGTACCTCCTGCAACCTTTGCAAAAGTACCTGGGTTGTGACAAACTGTAATTATTGTAGTAGCAGAACTTGGTGTTGGGTGAAGCACATCTTGGACAATTAGGTGCAATTTCAACACTGGGTTTCCATCTGTTTTCCAATGGCCTTTGTGGGTAGTGAAGCATCATCTGGTCAAACATTTTCTAGAGAGAGAAAGTGAGGAGAGAGAGCGAGTATGGGTGTACTTGTGGAGGTGGTGAAGAAGATATATAGAGGGTTAGGCCGGTTGGGGTGCTGGACGAGGGATCGTGGGCGGTTTCCGGAGCCGTTAGCAAGAAGGAAGGGCGTTAAATCTTGATCTCGTTTTCACACACTAGTGTGTGTTAATTGGAGGTTAGAGTTAACGGTTTTTGAGGCGGAGGAAACGTGAGGGTGTGAAAAACATTTTTCCAAATAAAGTTTTTCTAATTTTAATATATTTTTCTATTTGATAATAATATGGAATTTTGTGTAGGAGGTTTTCTCTAGGTTGTACAAGGTGAGTTTGGTTTGCAAACCGTTTCAAATAAAAAAATTATGTTGAAAAAAATTGAATTTGAAAGAATTGGAATAAGATATTATCGTACTTAATCACCTATTCAATTGATAGACATTAAAATGAAATATGTTATATGAATTGCAATTTATACGTTTGATTTACAAAATCTATTAATTGTATGATTTATTGAGAGATAAAATCTTACCATAAAATTAAAATAAAAAATTAAATATTTTCATATTCAAAAATCTGAAATTTATGTTTGATGTTTGGGATTGCTTATCAAATCTGTTTTTTAACTTACTTTAGTCTGGTACCGGAGATAAACTGTTTTTTAGTGTTTGGGTAAGGAAAAAGTCTTGCTTATACCGGTGTCAAACCGGTAATAAGCAGTTTTTGATAAGTTAATCTTTATTGACTTATGAAAAACTGTTTATTACCAGTTTACCATTTTAACCCTATTTTATTAATGTTTGTTAATTATTAATCTTATTGATATAAATTTTTGTCAAAAAATATTATTATAAATGATGAAAAATAAATTTTTACATGTTAAAAAATAAATAAATTAAAAATCAAAAATATTATTATATAGAAGATTGTCCTTTTTGGTCATTTTACATATATAAGCAAAATTTGTCAAACACTAAAAAACAACTTATCAGCTTATTGCTTTTTGGTACCGCTATAAGTTAATCCAAACATGTTTTATAAAACTCCGGTTTGGTGCCACATAAGTTAATAAGCACTTTTACAAAAAAGCATAAGTTGTTTTAAATAAGCAATCCCAAACACCCCTGAAAATTATAAGTTATGGTTAAATACCTTATGATAATTTGAAGATCTAGTATAAAACCCAAAAGCATATGCATATATTGTGATCAAATTAACGATTATAAGATTCTTATTTTTTATATACTTGTTTTATTAAAACTAATATATAATTTACATATTTTAGATATAAAAATCGGGATATGTGTTTTTTTTTTTTTTTTGATGATGGAATATTATGTTATATTAGTATTGTCCAAAGTTAATATTCTATTTGAACACTTTTATCAATTGATTAGCAGTTAATTATTTTAGATCTGAAACGTCAAGTTTCTAAAGCTACTATTTTTAATCATTCAAGATGTTTAGACTAGGGTATAAGATTGTATCAAGCATATCGGTTCCAAAATATGAAACTTACAGTAAAATTAGTTTCACATTTATTGTTTTAAAAATGAAATACTATAATAAAATCCGGTTGGTATTTTGTAAGACACCAAAAATATGATAATGTTTTAATAGATTAAATAATTGTTCATCGCATATCTGTCACAATAAGTTATAAGACGCATTTTCTCGTACTAACAAGTTTTTAGAACACTTTTGAAATAAAATATTTAATTAGTTTTCTATAAAAACATTTTTGAGAAGCGTCTTGTGGACATAATTTTTTTATATAATATTTGTTTTTATCAGATACTTTTTAAATCATGTCATATAAGAAAACTAATATGATATTTTATTTCAAAAATGTGCTATAAAACTTGTTAAGACGGCAAAAATCGATCTATAAAACTATTGTAATGCACGTATATAAAAAGGAATAAAAATTTTGTTTTCTAAACTTAGGAGTTGTTTATACAAACGCTTATCCGATAAGTACTATAAATAAGAGTCAACTGTCACGGAGTTGCTTCACAAGCTTGTGCGCGGCCTTAGTTCTCGAAATAAGTCAGCCAAACTAATAAAATACCGAGTAAAAATGAACAAATAAGAATGTTGGAGAGAACTCTATGTTTCTATTACTTAAATTGTATTGACATGATAATCGCTTATTGGTTAGACATTTGATAAACGGCTCCTTAGTCTTATTCCTATAAATCAATCGATTATAATACTTATATATATTTAATATCTTATAAACATGATTTTATATATTAAAAAAGTAATGTTTATTATTTTACAATGTAAAATGGTATATTTTCTATTGATTTTTAAATTTTAACCCTATATTAGATTATTATTTAATTATTTTGCGGTATTAATTATTAATTGTTTAAAAAATAAAAAGAATGTTACTTTGTTGCATTGACTTGTAAACTATGCATCGGGTGTTGTGAAATGATCTTGGGTTTGTTGATTTAAGTTATTGGGAAATGCTTGTTGTGTACTTTGAATTGTGATCCGATGTTTACAACTCAAACCCTCCGAAGTTGGCATTACTGTCGCTAAAAATGGCCTTTTTACCCTTCTCTCCCTTGGAAGAAAATATTATTTGTCTTAAATTAAATGTTCACATTTTTATTTTAGTTTTTTTTAAAATAAACATTTATTTTTAAAAATTAGTTTTTACTTTTCTCATTCTACTATTAATTATGTAATGGAGAAAAAATTTATTCCTATTATCATGGATAAAAGTGTCATTTACTTATTGAAAAGTACAATAATTATTGTGTGATATTTTCATTTTAGACATTTATTTGACGGAAGAAGTAAATTTTAGTATTTTCAGTATATATGTTATATTATAAACATTTGAAGAAAATTCTTAAAAACATATTATTAAGTATAAGGTGTCATTTATAACTGTAATTGTCTTAAAATTTAATGTCACAAATTATTATAGCATATGTACAACTGTTTATATTATTTTTTTCAGATTCCGTAAAAATAACAAATAATCATATGATAAAATGTTTAAATAAACGATGATAATTAATACCTATTAATACTCAATTATACATTCAAATTGTATGATTATTAATTTGACATGCATATCAACATATCCATTTTTGGTTTTGTTTATGGATCTTCAATAGCAAAACATGTATTTTTTTAAAAATAAATTTTGGATTTTATTTTTTATGAGAAGTTTTCTTATTTTTCATCATTGATTTACAAAAAAATCTTAAAACTTGCTGCATCATAGGAGTAGATAGTAAATAAAATTGGTTACTGATTATCTTAATCATTGGATTTGTATATAATACACAAAAACATCCGACTAATCACTTAGAAAGAAACATTCTTGTTTACCTTGACTTACAAGGTACATATCTGCTATACTTTACTCATCAGATATTACCTTACTTATCATCTGATTCTATTGTTTGAAAGATTCGGATGTTGCTCTCATCGAATACATCCTAAACAGTTGAGTATAATCTAAATGAAAATAGTTTAGCCTAATTCGATTGATTGTTCTATCGTATAAAAGATTCCAGTCTTACTATACTCATAGGATATCCGATGTACCTACTTCATAACATTTTATAGTTGGTAAATCTGATGTATAACTTAAATATTGGATATAGTTAAAGGTAGGAATTTTTACTTGTAAAAATCTTGTAATTGTACGCATTGATATAAAAGAAAAATGTCTTCAACAAAACTGAAGACAGGTGAAGATTGTTACTAAAGCGGATTTGTTTGTTATCTAGCCAAATGAAGACCAGTATAAGATAAAAAGTCAACTAGTAGTCTGACAAATACTACTATTGGCAAGCCAAATTTTGAAATACAAACTTGGATAACATGTTTGGCTTACCAACTCACTTGCTTCCTTTCTTGTTATGATAACATGTACAACATGTCAGCCTAAGCAAATTCAAAGGCTCCATGTGATTGGTATTTTGTTTGCTTTACTATTCCCTCAGCATACTAGAGGATAGTAAATTGAAATCGTGTCTACATCAAACTCAAAAGTTGGAATGAAAGAGTTCTAGGTTACATGGATCAACCAACAAGAAGAAGACACACAAAAAAGTTGGACAAAAAATGCATTTAATGCAATGATGGCTATAAAAAGTCACCGTTGGCTTACAATGTATTGGTCCCAAAGGAGTTCTACAAGAGTATAATAGGTACAACAGTTTGTAGAAGGGGGTAGGTGAATATAAACAAAGAAGTTTTACTTTTTAAATTCGTTTATTCATAAAAGAAATAAATACATGAATGTAACACCCCAAAATCCATACATTGCATATAACATATATTTTATACGTAGAATACATGTTTTCCCCACATAGGTCCATAATACAAGATACTAAAATATACATCTCAAAAATTCCAAAAAGTACATGCCCTTGTATCTCTATATCCCTACTTCAAACATGGCTAAATAAGATCTTCATGTAGCTTAAACACATAGGGAAATAATTCACAGAATGCTCTTTCCCTTATTATCATTACATGCACATATATTTTGAAAACACAAAATGAGGGTTAGACATGAATGTCTAGTGAGGTTCCCTTCTTATGTATGCAGGGTGAAAACACCAAAACATTTTAAATCTTTCATTCTATATAGCAAAGAGTGAAAATCATAATCTGTATCGGGCCTCTGGTTCCATAACTGAACTTGAAATATATTTCAAGAAAACAGGACCAGAGCCCCTCTGGTTCCTCTATCGGAGTCTCTGGTTCTTCGACCAGAGCCTCTAGTTGTACTAACCAGAGCTTCTGGCTCATGAAATTTCCTTTTGGTTAAGCTTCCAACTAATAAAATAACATTTTTCATAAAAGAATAGTTAGAAAGGGGTCATGCTCGACTAGAGCCTCTGGTTCAATGTGTAAGTCGACCAGAGCCCCTCTGGTCTGTCTTTAGTAGAAAAATATTAAGTATAACATTCTTTTTCTTAAAACTTCGTAAAATACGATTTTGACACAGAA